AATGACCGTCTTGGTTGAGGCGATTAGGCCGCCTTGAAAGGCACGCAATCCACCCACACCTCCACCATTCTTATCATCTAATCAGCACCTCCCAATCAGTTATGAGACAAATCAAAAAGTAATTAGGAAGAGAAATATTTTTCCCCTATCTAGTAGCATATTGTATTGATCACTACGACTTCCCAACCATCCCTCAGTTCTATGGCAAACTTCTCCAGAGTTCCGTTAGTTGGTTTGGGAAGAGACACACCTTTGTATAATGTCGTCATTTTTCACAAAAAAAAGGCAAATGATGTGGTTTCGTGGCAGAAATATGCACAGAACGAAATGTGGTCGTAAAACTGTCCACTTTATTTTACTATGTCGTGCTGTGTTCAGTCTAGCAGGGGTTAGGCGCACACACACAGCCAATAGACATGGCAGTGGGGAAGGTGATGTTGTCGTGTCAATGCCACAGACCTCAAACTTTATCCCCTGCCACTATCCCTCCCTCTTTCTTATTGGGAAAGGAAGGTATGTATGGGTAGATGTGAGTGTGTTTTCTCCCTATGGACCTGTCGCCCACACCTTAGTGGTCGTAAAAATGTCCAATGTTAGGCTGTTAGCGAGGGAAGTAGGCATGAAATACACCCGATTACATTAGTCGGTTTAACGGAGGTTTATTCACGGTAAAAATAACGTTTTGTTTGAATAAGGTCCAAGCTTGGGAACTTGTTTAAAAGTCAAAGAATGCCCCTCTTTTAGTTGGATTAGCCGTGTTAATTATCAGGTGACTAAAGAAGGGCGTAAGGTGTACGGTTTTTCCCCTCTTTAAGGATTACTCGGTACATAGCGCCCCTTTTTATTCATTATGATGGACTACTTGTCAATACCCGGATAGCAGAACCAAGATTATGACCTGAACTGAGGTGAAGCCACCTCTGATTTTGTCACCGATTGTCTCTATGGAATAAAAAGGATTACATTATGCAGCTCAGTGTTTAAAGAAAGGCAGTCCTTCCCCTGCAATCAATCATTCCGCGTTTGTTCAAATGCCTAGATAGAAGGCCAGGATAACTCCTAATCATACTACCGTTATCAACGGCCCAGAAGGTGACATTTAAGGACCATTCATTAGGATCCAGTATATTGCATAACTACGGGGACTGTGCTATCTGGAATGTCACCCACATCTCACAAGCTGTCTGAGATAATAGCTTTACGGTTCGCAGCAATTTAGATAAACACACTTCAGTTGAAATTCTATTTCGAAACTGAACAGCAAATCAAGTAATCGGCAAAATCCTTTTGAAAACAACTGACTCAATAATTTGGGTAAGGCTTCACTTTCCTTAGTGGGTAAGATCATTTCTATCGATGAGAGGAAAGGATTATCATTCCGCACACTCACATCTAGTGGAAGAAGCGTGAACGGCCATCTTAGCTCATTTAAACAATAAGGGAAAAAGCTGAGAAAAGAAAACACGAATCAAACAACTAACATTATCATTTTTGTTTTGAAAAGATTTTGTGCGAGTCCTACATCTCTCTAGCTATTTTGAAGCTTTTCGATTCCGAATGTGGCGCCTCCAATAAAAAATTCGATTATAAACTAAGTTATAGTTCATAAATATGATATTAATGGATGCTACTCTTTTTAAGGTCTAAATTTTGGCGCTAACAATTTACGGTTGCTAAAGTTGGTTGTATGTATGTATGAATGCATGTATGCATGCACGTACGTACAAACAATATTCGATTTGGGCACAAATCAACATCGCGATATAATAATGTTGATATTTTGGAAAAAAAAACTAATTGCGGACAATTCTATAAGCATTTGAGTCGAATTATGTTTGGATCCGTATTTGCACTGCTTATTACCCCTGCTAAGTACTTCACAATGGGTGAAAATTACGATTAATGAGTTCCAGGTCAAGCTCAGTGTAAAATCAAAACAGTTTCAAGTCCAACAATTCTACCTTCCTTTTTAATGCAAAAGTATGAGCTTATGAAAAAGTATTTGACATTGCTTTTATGGATACCGGAATGAATGAAAAGCGAAAACCGGTAAGACCAAGATCTGCACTAGCTTTACACCACGTCTCTCTGTTATATAAAGAAAGGAAGTTGTAATACGTTAGGTGTTTGTTCTACGATTGGCATTGGTAAAGGGTCACTTTGTCTTGGCCGTTGCACCTCGCTGGGTGGCCAGGCCAGTAGACC